TGGAAAAAGCGATGCGGAGACACATAAGCACATGTTTGTGTTTGCGTCGGCGGCTGGGCAGAGGGCGACAGCTCCAGCGGATAAGCAACAGTGGACACGCTGTATGCAAATTAGGGCCACAATGCACGAAAAGAGGATGAGGAGCCCTGGCGCGACGGGGGGAGTGGAAACCGGGCCACTCAGAGCTGCCGGCTGCGGCGGGGGGGGGCGCCGGGGAGGGGAAGCAGCGCCACACACATACACACACACACATACATACATACATACATATTTCTACGTCGACAGCGATGTACGCAGCAGCATGGCGATCACAGTCGGTGCGTCGGGGCGGACCCGGAGCACAGTTGGCGAGAAAGAGCGCGCACACGTACTCTTGGTCCTCCTCCAGCGCTGTGGGTCACCAGCGCTTGTACATGATCAGAACGCGTCAGCATAAAAACTGCAAACGAGACTATATTGAATGCGTTCGAGTCGAAGCTCAAGGCACACACACACACACAAACATACACACACATACACGCAAACACTCTTTCCTCCTGCGCGCAAATGACCGCAATCGGCGCTCGGCAAGAATAAGGCGGGGCAAGCGCAAACCTAATCAACCTCCTTGTGGGGCTGCGCAACAGACTCACAAACCGACTCGGAGACAAGCCTGGAGGGAGCAAGCGGACAGATACGCGCTACGCAGCAGTGACGAAACTAAAGTCCAGAGGCAAGAACGAGAAGAGGGGCGGCGAAGACGACGGTCCAAGAGCACCCCAAGACCGCCCCAAGACGGCCCAAGAGGCCCCCAAGAGGCGCCCAAGTCAGCCCAAGAGGGCGCCAAGACGGCCCAAGAGGCCCCCAAGACGGCCCAAGAGGCCCCCAAGACGGCCCCAAGAGGGGGAGCTTCAACCGACAATCCGAGCCTTCCGCCCCAAGACGGCCCAAACGAGCGCTCCAAGACGCCCAAGATGGCCCCAAGACGAGCCAAGAGGCCTCCAAGACGGCCCAAGAGGCCTCCAAGAACAGCCCACTACTACTACTACGACTACGACTACGACTACGACTACTACTACTACTACTACTACTACTACTACTACTACTATTATTATTACTACTACTACTACTACTACTACTACTACTACTACTACTACTAAAGCTACTGCTACTACTACTACTACCACTATTGCTGATACGACTGCTTCGACCGTTTTTTCAACAGAAAAGCTGTGAGGCACCTTCCAAATTGAACAAACTCAACTCACTCTCAAAAATAATTCCACGAGAAGTCGACTGCCACCAAGCCCTGCTCCTCCTCCTCCTCCTTCTCCTCTTCCTCCTCCTCACGACCACACGCTGCACGCAACATTGCAGGAGAATGGTGCCGACACTGCATGCGACCCCAGAGAAACCACAACGCTTTTCGAACCAAGGGGTCCGCGGATGTGGCGAACGCCTATAGAATCCAGAGGCAAGAACGAGGAGAGGGGCGGCGAAGAAGGCACACACACACACACAAACTTGTCCGCATTGGCGGCCCGATGGGACACCACAACTCTTCATTCTGCCTCCTGCTCTATCACCCCTTCTTCTTCCTGGTCCCCTTTCGAGCATGAGCTTCTCTGAAGGACGCGTTTATTACGAGCTTGGCTAGCTGACGCTCAGGGGGCGTGAACTGAATGCGTCCAGCCTGTGCGCTAGCTGTGGTCTCAGAACAAGGCGTCTCCGGCTCGAACTGTCGCCCCAATGAGACTGTCTCCTGTCGGCTCCGCCGAGCCGAGCTTCAAGCAAGGCCGGCGCGGAGGCAGGATGCCTGATGATACTCTGTGGGAACGCGCGGCCAACACAAACCTCTTCTTCGAATTCCCCGGAACCCTGAGTGGGCATTTCCGCCACAACATTAAAGGGAAACTGGGACACACAAATAAATACACACAAATAAAAGGATTCCCCATATTTTCCAATATTTTTGGGGTTTTTGTCTTCCCCACCACTTCCCATATTTTCCCATATTTTCCTGGGGATCGACGATTAATTGTGTCTGTGTGTTTTTTCCCCTCCTGAAACATGCTCAGCACTGCAAAGAAGAGGAGCGCGTGCAGGCCGCTATGGAGCAGACAGGAAGCGCACCTGCGCAACACAAAACCCCCTGCGCTTGCCCGCGCTCCTCTGTGGCCTTGAGCTGCCGCAGCTCTGCCAGCTCTAGCGCGATGGCCGCCAGCGCTACGGCATGGCCGATGACGATCACGACGTCCATGGTCTGGCGCCGGGCAAAGCAGAGCTTCGACGTGTGGAAGCCCAGAGGTGGGCGTTTTCACGAAACCGCGACGCGCTCTTCGCGTGGGCTTACGAGCAGCAAGAAACCGAAACCGCTGCCAAGAGAGCTGGAAGCACGGCGCACGGAACCCAAACCATCCGGAGGCGACTCCTGCTGCGGCGCGGCATGCCGTGCACTGCGGCGTGTACCATGTACAAACATGACACATCGGCATTCGGGACCAGTTCTGCGCCTGGCAACTAAGTCACGGCTAAAATTTCCCAGCACGGCAATCATGAAGGGGCCCCAGGACACACAAATAAATACACACAAATAAAAAGATTTCCCATATTTTCACATATTTTCTGGGTTTCTGTCTTCCCCCCCACTTCCCATATTTTCCCATATTTCCCTGGGAGTGGACGATTAATTGTGTCTGTGTGTTTCTTTCCCTCCTGAAATCAATATTACACAAGGGTGGGAAAAGAAGAGCGGAGCGAAGCATGAGCGGGGCACGAGGAACCGGCGTGTCGGAGTGTCAGGGCAACGGGCGAGGCGAACCGCAAGACGGGAGGGCAGGGATGGTGGTGCTCGGAAGGGGGCAGGTCAGCTGAAAGCACGGTCATCCTCCGCCTCCCCCTCCTCCTCCCGCCGCGCCTCCGCCCAGCACGGGCTCCCGTCTGAAGGCCAGAGCCCTGGAGCTCTGTGCGCGGCTCGAGGCAGGGCACGCTGTTCCCTGCATCGGCGCTCTTTGCCTCCTGCTTGCTAAAAACATGAAGTAGGAAGGCGGATGAAGTAGATTAGGCTCGGGCCCTCCCAGGGAATAGCAAAGCGCAGCAGAGGCAAATCGATGATCGAAGTAGGTAGGCGCTTGAAGTACATTGGGATCTGGGAATCCAAAAGTGCATGATTTCAACGACCCGCGTGTAACGATGCGCAGCCACCACAAGCTGATACGAACACATGGGTCCGTCTTGCGCCGGGCCACGAAGAGGGCCAGCTGGCAGTGAGATTGATCAAGGGAATGTCCTCTCCTGTTCGATCACCAGGTGGACGACAGTCCTAGTCGAGAGCAAGCCGAGATCAACACTCGATCGAGATGAGCATCGGCTACAACATCCTGAGACCCATCTCGCAATAAACATTCGGATGCCAAATCTCCCATCACCAAAGCTAGTAGCACTGTACGGTTATACCGAGGATCCTTGCTGACCTCTCGTTCCTGGCTGTGGAATGACGACGAAAACAACTAAAGCGACAAACACGGAGGGAAACACAACAAACTAAAAGAAGTACCAACACGCCGGGAGTACGCAAACGAGATACGGCAGGGTCGTATCGTAGCGAATTGCGCGATACTTTCTGACACCAAGCAGATCGCTCAGCCTTGAACGATCGTGGCTCTCCAACAGCGCAAATCGTTCGACATCGGACGACTCTGGACCACGGGCGGCGTTCAGCCTCGATCGACGCGGAACGAAGCTGCAGGGACAGACAACGCAACGGAAATGTACGATGCACCACGTGCCAGGCGATCGTGCCTGCAGGGCGAGGCGAATCAGAGCGTGTGCCCCAACAGCCCCTGGCCCAGACGTGCTCGAGCCCACGGAGCCTACGCTCCTGGGGTTACCAGACTGGAACATATCCCTATCCCTATGCTGGGCACCTGCTCATCACGATGCCAATCTTAGGGATTCCCGTATTTTTGAGGGCGGATCCCTAAGATTGTCATCGCCTTTTGGCGTGTCAATCTTAGGGATAGGGATACGTTCGAGGCTGGTATTGGAGTACGATGGGTCGTGTTTCGAAAGTGTGCGCCGCCGAACCTGGGAACCTGCAGGCTCTGCCGCTCCCCCTCCTCGCCAAAGAGGCCAACCCGGCGCGGCTGGGGAACAGAACTATCAGCACGGCGCCCGCGCCCGCCACCCGCGAGCGGGGCACGTGCAAGACTCGCCAGCCAGCCAGCCAGGCCTGCGTTGCGAGGCGGGGATGTATCCACATCCACCGCCTGGGAGCCGACGCCCTGGCGCCCCTGCGGGCGGTGGGTATGGATATATTTCGGCCCCCGGGGGCCCGAATATGCCCACATCCACCGCCTGCCGAGGCTCCGAAAACTGACCCTCCAGGCGGTGGTCATGTACAAATTCCCGCCTCGGATACGTGTCCAGCAGAGCAACCGTCGCCATCAACATGAGCCGTCTCGGAGGCCCGCGCGGCGGTCGTGGACCGGCGCTGGCCGTGCGCGGAGCCCGCCGATGCTGGCGCTGGAGAGACTGCCAAGAGGAGGCGCAGCGCCGACCCGAGCAATCCGCGCGGACCTCCGAAAGCTGATGTGCATGCCGGTTTCTCTTCTTCGACCCAGGGCTGGACCTGAACGCTGTTGTACGTCTTCGTTTTGTTTTCGTCGTCCCTCGCTTTTGCCTCGCATCCGCCATCACCGCAGAACGAAGTCGAAGCGTAAACGGCCCACGAGACCACCAAAAACACCGGTTAGGTCCAGCCCTGCTGCGACCGTCTGCGACCAACATCGCAGGAGGCCGGCTGCCCCCGAGGACGACCGGGGCGGGCCAACATCGGGAGCGGCCAAGAGGGGGGTGTCCAAGAGGGGGGGTGCAAATCATGACCGGCGGCATGTGCGCGGCCCAGCGGGGGGGCTAGGGACGTAATGAGATAAGAAAAGGCGCTATGAAATCTGGGGAGATATCATGGCCCACGCCATGATATCCACCCCCCCTAGTCTTCACCCCCCTCTTTTCTGCCCCCGACAACAGCGGAACGACGGAGCGGGCGCACGAGCCGGGCTGGACGATGGAGCGGGGAGCCGGGGGGCAGCAGAGGGGGCGGTGCGAAGCAGCTCCCAGGGCGACCTCCTCCTCACGCCGCCCCGGCGCCGGAGGCGCCGGGGTGTCGAGGAGAGCGCCAGGCGGCGGGGCAGGGACTGGCTGCGTGCAGCAGGCCCCCGCCGCGGCGGCCCGAAGGCCCACGGGCGGAGGCGCACGCGGCGGGGGGGGGCTGCGACCTGAGGGCTGGGCTCGGCGACACAGCCCTCGAGCAAGCAGCCCCCCTCCGGCCCGACCCCCCCCCCCTTCGTCCGGCCCGAGCGAGGCGCGAGGAGGAGGGCGGCGGCGGGCCCTCTCCCGGCTGGCGGGCTTGTCACCGAACGCCAGGCGAGGGCGCCGTCGAAGAGGGGCAACGAGGAGGGAGCACTGGCTCGTGAGGGGGCGGCATTGAGCCAGAATCGGCAATACGTCGCCAAGATCGGCGATAGGCCCCCGACCTCGAAGTCCGCACGCTCCTGGGCGGGGTGGGTTGGGCCATCACGCCCCTATCGGCGATGAGCGGGCGTTTGTTTGGAGACCCGAAACGGTGCGGTGACAGACCGTGCTCGAAATCCCCCAAGACCTCACCGCACGGTCCGTCACCGCACGGTCTTGGGACCCTGGAGGCTCCAGCCGCCCGAGACGTCCTCGGAGAACGACCCGAGCCTCAAAACCGTGCGGTGACCCCGAATCCCCACCGACTCACCGCACGGTGTGGTCACCACCCCGTGTGGGGACCTCCGACTTTGGGGGTCGATACCTTCCCCCCGGAGCTTTTCTCTGCCCCCAGTGGTTCCCGGGCCGCGCCTCGGGGGCTCCCGCGGCCGTTCGGGACGAGCCGGGCAGCCCCGGGGACGCTCTCGGCGAGGCGCAGCAGCTGGAGAGCCCCCTCGAGGCTGGACAGCCGCCGAGATCCGACGAGAGCGCTCGAGAAGCTCTCGCCTCGAGCCTGTCGTTCACCCCTGGGCCTATCCCAGAGGAACAAGAATCTGACCAGCCTGGAACATATCCCTATCCCTATGCTGGACATCTCCTCCTCGCGATGCCAATCTCAGGGGGTCCCTTACTTTTCGAGGGCGAATCCCCAAGATTGTCATCGCCTTTTGGCGTGTCAATCTTAGGGATAGGAATAAGTTCGAGGCTGGTAAGAATCGGCGGTGGACAAACCTCCCTTCAGTGAACCACCCTTTAGTACAAACGGCCTAGAACCGAGACCGACGAACCTGGACCCGCAAAAATGAAAGCCGCGACGCCCTCTCGCGGACCGAAAACGGCCAATTCGCTAATCGACGTGTCAGGATAGGAGGTCGATCCACCTCCGAAAGAAAGGCATTAACTAAATTTCTCTGAGGTCCGCGCGGATTTCTTGGATCGGCACTGGACCCCCCTACCTGGCGCGCGGAGCGCGAAAGAGGCGGCACCGGAGGCGCCGCCAAGCGCCGATCCTAGAAATCACTGCAGAGCTCCGAGAAAATATGTTCATGCCGCCTTTGCGTTCTTCGATATACCACCCCCTGTCGTTGCCCCCCCTGAGTCGAAGGGGCTCGCAAGGGGCGGCGACTCTGAAGGGTGTTGCTTGCAAAAGGTACAGCTTGCCACCCGCGCCCTGGGGTGGCGGGCAAGGAGCTCGACATAGATCTCGGCTGCGCCACGACGACGGCTCATCAAACGTTTGGCGCAACGTGGTGACCCCTGGGCCCCAACGGCGCCGATCGCAAACCACGCCTCGGTGTAACCGCACCACTCTAGTCGCCAAAACGGGCGCGCGCGCACGTGCGCGCGCGCGCTCAAGAGCCGCCGCGGCCCTCGCCTTCATCTGCCCCGGCCGCCGCCGCGGCCTCCGCCACCGGGCCCCCCCACCTGCTCGGCGTAGCGCCCGCCGGCGGGCGGGTTGGCCCCGCCGCCGCCGCCGCGCTGATCGAAGGTCTCGTCTTGGCCGACGAAGTCGTAGTCCGGGTCCTCTCACAAGGCGAACGTATCCGCATCCACGCCCTCACGGTCTGGACTCTGGGGCGCGATCCCGCAGTCGCACGGATGCGTGCCGCGCGGGGCCTCCGCGAGATAACGCCCGTGTCCGCGGGGTCGCGGCCCAGGGGACCAGCCCGCAAAGCCGTGGATACGGATATGCTTTCCGCCCTCGATCCTCGTCGAAGCCGTCGTCGTCGAAGTCGGGGTCACTTTCGGTAAACATCATGGTGAACTCCGTGTAGTCCAGGCCCATGACCGCCAGCAGCTTGTAGACGTCCCTAACGGGGCGCAGGAGGGCATACTAGTACTGCGAGCACCCTTGGTGGCGCACGTCCGAACCGAACACACAGCACACACATGTTATGGTGCATCGTTTCTCAGGCGGTATGGCCAGCGACCGGCAAGGAGCACGCGCTGAACAAGCAAGATCGAGCGCGTCGCCACTGGCGGGGCTGCCGCGCGCAAAGCGAAAGCAGGTTTGGGTGATGCCGACCTGAACTTCATCAGGTCCTTACCCTCCAGCTCTTCGTCCTGGAACTGCTTCAGGATCGCGTTGGCGGTCTCGTCCTTCTCCCACTCGTCCAGCAACTCCTCGGGGGGCTCCTCGAGATACTGCTCGTCGAAATCCTCGTCCATGCCCATCTGATCGTCACTGACCATAGAAGAGCGAAAACAACTGCATGCACGGATACGTTCGACAGCCCGCGCGGACTCCGTGGGCCGGCGCTCGACACACATCCCCACCCCTTTCGCAGCGCGCGGAGCGCGCCTGGGGCGACGCAGGAGGGGGGTGCGAGTTCTGTGGCAACTCATGGGGGCCTGCAAAGTGCTCTTGCTGGCTCCTACGAATCAGCGCTATCCGACGCCCATCGACGCGAAATCGGCGCACATCGACGCCAAATCGGCACTTTCTCATCGGCTACCAGACGCTGGCGCACGCGGATGCACTCTGAAGACGGAAGTGCGAGGACAGACACGGCTCCCACGAGTTGCTGCCGAATGCGAGAAGGGCGGTCCAGCGCCGCCCCGAGCGGTCCGCGCGGACCTTCGCGAGGGTGTGCTCGCGCCGCTCCCGGGTCACCTACAGCCAACCCGTGTGGGAAGGCTGCGCAGGAAGGGTGCAGGGGCCTTGGAAAGCCGCGTTGACGTTTTTCGGGGGGTGCCAGGGATAGGCCGAAGGGGCAAGCATGCAGGGGCAACCCTGAAAAGTCGCTCATCCTTACTCTGCGGGTTGACTGCCACTTCGCGCATCGCGCTCCGCGATGTGCGACGCGCGGCCATCTTCGCGCCTTCGCGCCACCCCCTGGGGACTAGCCATCGCTCGGACGTCCATTCCCAGTGCATTGCTCGGTTGCGTGCGTGCCTTTTTTTCTCGAGGGCCTCGCCGAGAAAAAGATCATACTTCCGAGCGATGCCAAGTAACTCCGCGAATCGCACCCCGCGATGAGCGACCTGCATCCTCGCGCCGTCGCGCCGCCCCCTGGAGAAGTGTAGCCTTAGATCGGGCATGTCCCCCTGTAGGCGGAGTTTTGGTGAAAATTAAAATACTCAAAAAATACACCAACATAATGTTAAAAATACGAAGTTTCAAAAATCGTCCCCAGACTATAGTTTGACTACTTCTGAATATACTCCTCCTGTAGAGGGACATGCACGACTTAAAAAGAACTTCGCGAACCCCCCTGGAGAAGCATAACCCAGAGCCTCCAGGCCGCGACGCGAGCAGCGGCGCCTTTCTCTTTGTGTCGATAAGGGGGTGACCTGGCGCCCGTATTTGAGCAGGCACCGACCGTCCCGGCATTCCTGTAGGCCTACCTTGGTGGTCCCCAAACGTGGTGGTGAGAACACCCGGTGGTGAGTTTTGGGCGATTTGGGTAATGGTTTTCGAGCGCTGGCTGGCCCAGGAAACGCAAAACCTCGTGGCGACCGCGTGTCCCCAAACCCGGTGGTGACCCAGAATTGTTTTAGGGGGAATCGGGGTCACCACCGGGTGTCTCACCACCTTCTTTGGAGACCAGCAACTACCACGACATGCTCTTAGAGCCAAAAACAATCGAATCACAAAAGCAGTGCTCTCAGAACACAAACCCGATGTGCTGAAGCACGGCAGTATCGACCAGACACGTTCTAAGAGCACGTCGTTGAAACCGCTGAATGCTCTTAGAGCGGTGCCTGGTGGGCCTACAGGCAAGCGAGGACGCCTCGCCACTGCTCGACTCTCTGCGCCGATGGGGGGGACCCGGCGCCCGTATCGGCCGACTCCCGGCCACCGGTGGCGCCCGACCTCGCACGCCCGCGCGGAAGCGCGGCGCGAACGCACCGCGTGCCGTCCTTTCGCTCCTCCGCATCAACCTGTCCGGGTCGGCGTACATGTCCTCAGCATCCCCCGACGTGACTTCTCCGGCCCGCGGGCCCAGGAAGGTCCCGAGCGTTTCTCTGTGGGGGGCCTTCTGGGGGGGGGAGGAGGAGGAGGAGGAGGAGGAGGAGGAGGAGGAGGAGGAGGAGGAGGAGGAGGAGGAGGAGGAGGAGGAGGAGGAGGAGGAGCCCACGGGCCGGAATCGAGGAAAACGCCTGGATTGGCAAAATCATACCGTCGGAGAGCTGGGCTTTCGGGCCACACCTCGGCTCTGCGGCGGCCGGTTCGAGACGATTCTGGCACCCCCAGGTGTGATTCCCGCTCACTCCCCGTGCCTTTCCTGCTCCTTCCCAGCGTCCCCGCTCTATCTCTCACGCCCGCCCTGTCGCCGCCATTTCGTTTCGAACTAGGGCCCTTGGCCTTAGAGCTACGCAGAGAGCTTCGCCGCGCGATTCCTCGACAAACGATATCAGCGATATCCATATCACAGTGGTAGCTTGGAGCGAGGCTCGCTATCCCGGCCCGCGGGGCCGTATACCCAAGACGACGCCCGCGACGTCGCACTCCATATTGGAATCGAGGCCCAGCGGCCTCCTCGCGCTGTTGCTCAGCGCCTGCGCCTACGCCAGCGTCAGCGACGCCAGCATCTACGCCAGCGTCAGCGACGCCAGCACCAACGCCAGCGTCAGCGACGCCAGCGACTACGCCTACTACGCCTACATCCTTGCCAGCTCCAACGCCAGCGTCAGCGACGCCAGCAACCCCATCTTCTTTCCCACCCTCAGCAGCGACGACAGCTACTTCTCCTACGCCTGTGTCAGCGACGCGGCATACTTCCTCTACGACGGCGTCAGCGACGCCACATACTTCTCCTACGACGGCGTCAGCGACGCCACATACTTCTCCTACGACGGTGTCAGCGACGCCATATACTTCTTCTACGACGGTGTCAGCGACGCCACACACTTCACCTACGACGGTGTCAAGATGACGGAGTTCACGCACAACCAGTCAGTGATACCAAGCTGGAGTGGAGATCCAGCGAAATGGCGAGATTACAAACAGGAGGTAAAATTGTGGAAGCTCAGTGAGAACTTGGAAGTGACACAAAGTTTGGCTTCGAAGTTAGTCCTGCGTTTGACGGGTACAGCCAGGTCGGCTGCTCTCAATATGACGGAGCAGGAACTCCACCCGCCGCCGGACGACGGCATCGAGGATGCGAACGAGAAGAAGCGCGATCGCAACCAGAAGGGCATCGAGAACGTGCTAATGCACCTCGAGGCAAACCTAGGCCAGGAGAAGCCGGTGCAGAAGGGAGAGACGCTAGAAAAGTTCTTCGAGTCGACCCAGCACCATCGCCGCCGCGGAGAACGCACGACGGATTGGCTCGTGCGATTCGAGGCGGGACTACAGCAACTACGTGAGAACGAGGTTGACCTCACTACGCTTGACGACGTGGCCGGCTGGTTCCTGCTACGCAAGGCTGGGCTCACGGCCGAGCGCCGTGAGCGCGTCGTGGGCAACTTGCCGGACGAGCACTACTCACTTCAGCGCATCAGGGGACTGCTGGTGCGCATGTTCCCCGACATCCATACATCTGAACGACACACAAGCGTGCCGTCACGATCGTGGCCGCAGCGATCAAACAGTAGTTGGCAGCGCTCACCGCCAAGCCGAGCACGTTCAGCCAACATCGCTGACGAGCCAGAAGACGAGCATGAGGACTCGGAGGACGGCGACGACAATGACACGGAGGCAGACGTCCAGGACATCGTGCGCCAGGAGCTCGAGGCTTTCAGCGCCGAGCTGGAGCAGTCCAATTACGACCTCGGCGAGGTGTTCGATCGGGGCGACTCTGCCAAGGTGGAGGCTGCCGCGGCGGAGCTCGCCGCGATTCCCGAGGCCATGGCGACCATGCGGTCGGCCCGGGAGGCTATCAAGGGCCGCGGGAAGGCTTCGCCCAAGCGCCGACCCGCGGGCAAGCTACAAGGCCGCGTGGACCAGCGCAAGAAGAACTCCAAGTGCTGGGACTGCGGCGAGGCGGGGCACTGGACCGGTGACAAGGAGTGCCCGACACCAGGCGCTCGAAAGTTCGCCCCAAATTCTAAGCAAAAGGGCGGAGGGCGAGGCGGCGGAGGTCGCTCGCACCGCCAGGCCAACATCACCGAGCAGGTCCACGACCAGAATCACGTGGAGTTCGGTGACGAAGAAGTGATTCTTCATCCAGAAGGTCCGATCACTCCGCCCCCCGAGACTCTGGTCTCCGAGCGCGTGGTACCAGATTTGCCCACCATAAACACCACCAACGCTGGCGAGAAGCCCAACGACGACGGCGTCGGCGTGATCGACACTGCCTGTCTCTCCTGCGTTGGCGGGCTCAGCTGGTACAAGCAGTACAAGGAGAAGCTCACCAAGATGGGTCTGGCCGACCAGATCCTGGAGGAGCCAGAGAACGAAGTCTACAGGTTCGGGAACGGCGGCACGCTCCCGAGCAAGCTGCGCGTCACAGCCCCACTCGTCCTGTGTGGACGCGCTGGTCGCATAGTATTCAGCGTCGTGGACAGCCCCACGCTCGGCCTGCTTATCGGCCGGGACTTCATTCAGCCGAGCAAGATCGACATCTCGCTCTGGCGGGAACAGATCCGCATCGGGAACCATTCCCAGAAGCTCATCACGAGCAGCGCAGGACATCCCGCGATCGACCTCCACCCGGAGGACTGGCTCGCCATCAAGGGCGCGGGCCACGAGTTTGGACCGAAGGCTGTCAGTACTAAGGGCATCGCCAAGCGGCCAGCCCCGAAGCCCACGGCCAACCTCACTACGAAGGCGAGCAACTTGCTCGAGAATATCACGAGACTCATTCCCAAGAAGGAGCTCAATGTACCGAGACGACTTCAACAGCGACGCGGCGGCAGCTCAAGGCTCATGGCCGCCGTAAGCTCTGCGTTGGTCTGCTGTTCGACGGCGGTCGCGCCGCCGACGTTTGCTCCAACAATGATTTCGGCTACTACCTGCATCGCCGAGCCCCTCGACGATTGCGTGGCCTGCGGCGCCAAGTCCTATACAGACTGTTGCCACCTCGGGTTCTGCTCCGAGTGTGTTTTCGGCAACTCGGTCACGCTGGACATCGAGAACGACAACGACCCGAAGGAGGTCAACATCGTGGAGGAGGAGCAGATGAAGGTACGTCGGCTCAAGAAAGGGACAAGGCTGCAGCTGACCGCCGGCAAGCGGTCGGCCATCGTCACCAACAAGAGCGGCGTTAAGCCGCACACAGTCAGCCAGGCGCTCAAGGCTGACCTGGCCAAGTCAACTACGAGCTCGAGCGGAATCTCGAGCAACACCACCATCCTCTACGAGTGGTGCTGCAACCCTGACAGCAAGCTCAGTGCGAAGTGGACTGAGAGTGGAGGAGCTGCTGTACGTTGCGGTCTTCCTGGATACGACCTCTCTCGGAAGCCCATCGTCGAGAAGCTCGAGGACAAGATTCGGAAGAACCTGCGGAAGGGCCAGAGTGCACGGGTCCATGCCGCATTTCCATGCACGCCATCATCCTGAAGATCGACCCCCGCAAGGCTGAGAAGCTGGAAAAGGACCGGAAATATTCCGCGAGAATGATCGACCTTTTCCTGACGTCAATGAGCCGCCTGCGGAAGGAGTTTGGCAGCCAGCTCGCGGTCTCCTTCGAGTGGCCGCGCTACTGCGACGGCTGGGATCAGAAGAAGAACTACACCGCGAAGAAGCTGAAGGATCAGCTCCCGCGCATCATCGATTTCGATGGCTGCGCTTATGGCCTTCAGACCAGGAGCGGGGACGCGATCAAGAAGCCGTGGAGAATTATCACCGACCACTACGGGATCGACAACTCGCTGCACAAGCTTTGCGACGGCCTACACAACCACGTCGAGGCCCGTGGCAAGCTCGCCAAAGACCTGCGAGAACTACACCGACAAGCTCGTCGCCATGCTGGTCAAGCAGCTTCGCAAGACGAACATGACCGAGCACCGCGAGGCAAACCCCGCGGAACCAACGAGACGGAGAGCCGCGAGGAGGACAGTGCCTGCCCCGGCAGCCCCCGCAGAGCCAGCCTTGACGGCAGCGGAGGAGCGGACGCTCAAGTCCGCCATACTGCAGCTCCACGTCAACACGGGGCACCCTGCCAACGACGCGTTGGCCCGGGCCATCCGAGTGACGGGTGGATCCCAAAGAGCGGTCGAGATGGCACTCAACCTGCACTGCGAAGTCTGCGCCGCCCATCGGCGACCCCTACCTCATCTACCTGGGAGAATCAAGCTAGATAGGGACTTCAATGATTCCATTGGAGTGGACTTGTTCACTCTCGCCGACTACGCCGGCAATCAGTTGGTTTTTCTCAATGTGGTCGATCTCGCTTCTGGATTTACATTATGTGGTACAGTTTCTTCAAGACACCCCTCGATTGTATTCGCGAGGCTTTTGCAGGTTTGGATTACACCGTTTGGGGCACCACAACGGGTACTTTTCGATGGAGGAGGCGAGTTTGAGAGAGAGTTCTCAAAGGAACTCGAGGACATGGGCTGTCGCCTTATGACTACTGCCGCGGCTACGCCGCAACAGAACGCCACCGTGGAAAGGCACGGCGGCATGTGGAAGGTCCACGCCAGGAAGCTGATCGACCAGTTCAGCATCAGGTTCGATCAGCCCGCGAACGCCCACAAGATCCAGTGGCTGCTCGCCGCTGTCTGCTGGGCTATGAATAGCTCAATCAATGCCAGTGGGTATTCACCGGCACAGTGGGTACTGGGACGTGGACTTCAACTACCCTATTGCCTGCTGGATAGCGCTGGGAGACTCTCGCTACACGAGAGAGCGGTCTCTGACAAGTCCTTCTCTGAGAGGATTGCCCTCATGAAGGCCGCCCAGACGTCAATCCAGCATCTGCGTTTCAACCAGTCCCTATCCCGGGCCTTACTCGCACGATCGCGCGCGGATGGAGCTCAGCACGCGTCGGATATCTATCAAACGGGGGACCAGATATACTACTGGAGGGGGAACGGCAAGCCTAAGCGCGAATGGGCTCTGCAGTGGCATGGACCCGGCATCATCATTGGCTTCGAGGGCACCTCGAACGTATGGGTCAGCCATCGTTCCACCACCGTCAAGGTCAACCGAGGACATTTACGCCACGCTACTGCCTCAGAGCTCGTGCCCTGGGGACAGGTACTCAACGCCATGAACGGCAACCAGCCACCACCACCGCCAGGACAACCACCAGCTGACCAGCCCCCACCTCCTGACGGACCACAGCCACCGGGACCAGGAGGAGGGGACGAAGGATCACCACATGAAGGAGGAGACTGCGGTGGAGGCGGATTACCACCATCAGACCAAGGAGGAGATGGAGATACATTCATCGACCTCACGGGCGAAACGCCGAAGAAACGCCCGCGAGTGGACAACGTTCCGCCAGCACTACCACCTCCGCCAACGACCATCAAGCAGCACAACTTCGGCAACATCGAAGATACTCCACACAATCGCCGCGCACATGCTACTCTTGAGTGGATTCGCCGACGGCAAGGAGATGAAGAATATACGACCAGTGGGGGCGCCTCAGGCAGCGGTTCAGCACCAGCACCTTCGGGAGGTGATATTCTGCCAGCGCCTCCAGCGCCTGTTGCTGACTCAGCTGCTGCCGCTGACCCCGACCCCGCTCATGACCCTGCTCATGAAGACCCAGATCGCGCTGAAGATCCAGCTCCAGAACCCATCGTGCAACCAGAAGTACATGACGAACAGCCTGAAGAACGCGATGGAACACGACTTCCACCACCAGGAGCTCGACGCACAGAAGCTGATGGACATTCATCGGATGCCGACAGCTCCGGATCCGAAGGTCTACGCGACTGGAGCAAGGCCGCGGAGGAGGAAGTTCGCAAAGAAGCCTTTGCCCGCAGACCACAACATCCTGAAGGACAACGCGGCAACAAGGCTCAGCGCCAAGCTCAACAAGAGGACGCACCTCGCGCCCTCGAACGTGACAGGCACGATCAAACAGACGACCGCAGCAAAGCCATCAAGCGCAAGGAATTCTTGGAGAGTCTCATGGACGACCTACCCAAGTGCTTCAAGAGGCCGAAGGACACACTCAGGACCGACCTCTACTTGGACAACTATTTTGAGATCAACGACGACGATTTGCATTCGACCATCCGACTCCGGGAGGTGATGCTCACCGGAAAGGCCGCTGCTAAGGAGATCAAGTACGACAAGCTCTCCGCCAAGGACAAGAAGCTCATGGACATGGCCATGAAGGTTGAGTGGTCCAAGTGGACCGAGTTCGGGGCCTACAAGAAGCTACCGCCCAAGGAGTTGAAGAAGATCTTCCAGCGACACCCTGGAATACGACCAGTTGGTACCCGCTGGGTGCTCACGCAGAAGGCCGCCAACCTCATGAAGACCCGCCTTGTCGTCCAGGGCTGTCAAGAGGACAAGTCCCAGATCCGTACGGACGCGCCGACCGGGTCAAGGGACGCGCTTTACCTCACGCTTGCTGCCGCCGCCCAGCTTGGCTGGGACCTCACGTCGTACGACGCGATGACGGCTTACCTGCAGTCGGGCAACATCGAGAGGCTGCTATTGCTGCGCATGCCAGCCAAGAACCCGCCGCCAGGCACATTGCCCGGCGAGATCGCGATGGCGACTGGCGCCATCTATGGTACCCGAGATGCCGGACGCCAGCGGTACCTCTACGCCCAAAAGGTGTTCCAGGAGCACGGCCTCATCGAGAGCAAGCTCGAGAAGGGCCTTTACTACTTCTACGACGACAAAGGGCTCGCTGCTATGATTCACTCCCATGTGGATGATTTCCTCATCGCCCAGCGCGGAAGCTCCAGCGAGTGGAAGCGAGTCATCAGCTCCTTGCAGAAAAGGCTGCACCTCAAGAAGGTAGAGGGTATCATCAAGTACTGCGGCCGGACAATCAACAAGATCAACGAGGAGTTCCGCATTACCCAGGCGACGGCCGCCGCCCAGGTGGATTTCATCGAACTCAACGCCCAACGCGGACGATCACCAGAGGATCGTCTTACCACCTCGGAGGTCTCGGGATATCGTCACACACTCGGCCAACTGCTTTGGCTCGCAGTACAGACGCGAGTGGACATCGCCTGCCCGGTGAGCCTTGCGGCTCGCCGCGCCAACACCGCCACCGTGGCCGACGCCAAGACGCTGAACAAGACCGTCGCTTACGTGCACGGGTCCGCCGATTTCGCCATAGTCATCAAGCGCAACATCATCGACCTGCGCACTTGCACCATCATCTGTTTCAGCGACGCGGCCTTCGCCAATGTGGACGGGGTGAAGAGCCAGTGGGGCATGGCGATTGGGCTAACTCACAAGCCACGGGACGTCGTGGCTGGACGATATGACTTGTGCCTGCCTGTGGCCTGGCATTCGGGCACGGTCAAGCGATCCGTGAAGTCGACGCTGGCCGCCGAGGGCTACGCCACTCTGGAGGGCGCCGAGTCGAGCACGTGGTTCGGCCAGCTACTTACGGAGGCCTACAACCCGAAGAAGACGCTCAAGCAGATCGACGACCTCAGCACCAAACGATCCGGGGAGATCTATAGCGACAGCAACGGCCTGGTGACGCACATCAAGTCTGACGTGGGTCAATCCACGGACAAGCGGTTCCGCATCGTGGCATCAATGATCAAGGAGACGGTGCACCCCAACAGCCAGCTGAAGCTCTCGTGGATACCTACGTGGAGTATGGTCGCCGACGCGCTCACCAAGATCATGGAGACCGGAGTGCTCCTCGCTTTCTTCGGGGCCAAGAAGTACAACTTTGGCACTAGGCAACCGCACGCCGCCATGCTTGCCTCAGTGCTGATGACATGTCTCGGACGCGTGAAGGCACAGCATCCCCCACAGGAATGGCAAGTGCCGATGTCACATTGGATCTACTACATGACATTCATTGCGATGCTCAGTGGGATCATGATTGGATTTACATTGTTCGCAGCGCTGTGGTTTGTGGTGCGAAAGGAGATATTTGGGCCAGGCGACCCCAACCCCATCCAGATCGGGACCATCAACAACACCAGCAGTGGGTCCAAGGCCGACCACACCGGGCACGCGGACACTCCCTTGCCCGGAGTATATCCAGGATGGGATGGACGATACCTTGGACGTCGTAACAACGTACAGCCTACCATTCCCGAAGACGTCGACGGAGATGTCTACATGGAGCCGCCGATGATTGCCGTCGCAGCCCAGAGTTCATCATCAGCAAGCGGATCGGCAGCGCCAGCCGCACCGCCCCCATCACCTGACAGCTTCGCGCAGGGAGCGAGCTCTGCGCCATCATCGCCGATGACGGTTCACAGTTCCTCGTCAGCCAGTGTGGTTTCGTGGAACGGATCGACGCCAACGGTTTCGCCATCAGAGATGAACGCATGTGTGGCCGCCGAGCACAACATACGTGTGGGACACAACACACATAGTGTCTACATAACCTGCAGGACGTGCAGGAAGCATGCGTCATGGCTTCGCAGGAATCACATGACCCATGAGCCAGACTTTTCGAGGATGCACAATAGTCTGCGCTGGGATTTACAGAATAGATGGAGGCAGCTACAAGGACTGCCCGGCAAGGCGAAAGCTCAAAAGAAGATTTCGTGACGCACGCCGCCGCTCTATAACTGGCGCCACATCATGTGGCAGATTACGTTAGTCCGCATCGCTCTGTCAGCTCGTTTTCTTTACACCTGGAGCCACATCGTGTGGCAGACTACGTTAGTCCGAATTGTCTTACCAGCTCGTTTTCTTTACATTTGGCGCCACATCCTGTGGCAGATTACGCTAGTCCGCATTGTTCGAAGCTTTATTCAGTGTGCACAATTTTTCTTTTATGTGGTGACGACCACACTATTGAGATTTTATCTTGATAAGATAGCGCTATTTGAGTTTTGTCGCATAGCGATCGGACTCGCGCCGCTGTTTGCTTTGAGAATGTATGTATTTCTTGCCGGTGCGTGTAGCAGCACCCGTTAAATGCCCTGGGGCAGCCGGATAGCATGCCGACAAGGCCGTTTGCCTGTGTTTGTTTTAGAGCGCTCTGATTAATGAAGTGAGCTGCGATCGATGATCGTCGCTCGACGGCGCCGCGAGCGTCAATCAGGAGGAGTGTGATTCCCGCTCACTCCCCGTGCCTTTCCTGCTCCTTCCCAGCGTCCCCGCTCTATCTCTCACGCCCGCCCTGTCGCCGCCATTTCGTTTCGAACTAGGGCCCTTGGCCTTAGAGCTACGCAGAGAGCTTCGCCGCGCGATTCCTCGACAAACGATATCAGCGATATCCATATCACACCAGGAACGCCCTCGGCGAGGCGCAACTGCTGGAGCGACCCGACGCAGACGTCCGAAAACCCCTCCCACAGATCGTCGGAGATCTGGAATCGCGGGTCGAAGAGTCTCATCGTCGGAAATGTGGGTTCCTCCATGGACGCCTTGTCGCCCGCCGCCGCAGCCGCACGGCGCGCGACAGGCGAGACAGCCGCGCGCCGGGGCGGAGCTCGGCTGGGGCACCCGACGAAGCCGGCGGTGGCGAGGCCGAGGGCCAGCGCACTTGCCAAGAGACCCGCCGCCAGCCGCGGCAGCCGGCTGCCGCACCGCATCTGTCCGACCATTAAAATTTCCCTGGGGGTGCTGGCCCGACCTCCTCGCGTCGTGAGCAGAGCCCAGGTCTCCCACGATGTAATGTTTCCCATCTCGGCCTCTCTCCCCCGACTTCGGCCCCCGGAGTCCGCCATCGGGCCCAGGAACCGTCAGAACGATTCCAGGGCGGAAGAACTGGCCCCAAGGAAGGGGTCAGGGCTTCTGTGGCCACGGACGGAAGAAGACACATCGGCGGACGCCTGGGACTAACGCAACGGGAGGTGAGGAGGCAACTACTGGGAGGCTTTCGTCGGAAAGACTCAGGAGGACCAAGCCCCATTTGGGAGCTGTTACGCCTGAGTGGGCCTCGGATTAAGCGGGATGAAACCGGATTAAGCGGGATTAAGCGGGATTAAGCCGGACTTCGGACCAGGGCAAAATCAGAATTTTACCTCCCAGGAGTTGCATCCGAAGGGAGGGTTTGGGAATCTGCTGCTCCCGGAGGCCCTCGCCAGGTCCCCGGCGGGGAGAGGGGGCGTCAAGGGGGAAAAAGCGCTCGGGATGGGAGGCTGGTCCCCGGGCAGCTGGTCGAAACCACTGGGGGGTCAAGGTGGTGAAAGGGACACGGCGCCAGAGGTCTGGTTGGGCAGGGGGACGCCAACTATCGATATATATATATATAGAGAGAGAGAGAGATGTAAATGTATGCAAAAATGTCCGTATAAGTGGATTGACTAAATCCGCCGGCCCCCTTGTGGGGCCACCAGGCTGTAGGAGCGAGGTTCGCAGTTTCCTGTACCAGTTGCAGCTTGTAGTTTCCAGTGTTACAGTTCTGCTTCTTGCTGGTTACTGTAACTAGTTGACTTATTGCTGGTTATTGTAACTAGTTGATTGACCGCGCGAGGGGGGGTTGGGCCCAAACCGGCTTTTTAGCACCCCCTGGGCGCGTTGTCTGAATTGCTGGGGGGGCTCGAAATCAACACCCCTCACGCAGATCCGCGGGGTCAGGGTCCAAAAACACATGGGATTTGCCACATTTCTGAAATTCGGTGCCACCCCTCACGCAGATCCGCGGGGTCAGGGTCCAAAAACACATGGGATTTGCCACATTTCTGAAATTCGGTGCCACCCCTCACGCAGATCCGCGGGGTCAGGGTCCAAAAACACAGGGATTTGCCACATTTCTGAAATTCGGTGCCACCCCTCACGCAGATCCGCGGGGTCAGGGTCCAAAAACACAGGGGATTTGCCACATTTCTGAAATTCGGTGCCACCCCTCACGCAGATCCGCGGGGTCAGGGTCCAAAAACACAAGGGATTTGCCACATTTCTGAAATTCGGTGCCACCCCTCACGCAGATCCGCGGGGTCAGGGTCCAAAAACACAAGGGATTTGCCACATTTCTGAAATTCGGTGCCACCCCTCACGCAGATCCGCGGGGTCAGGGTCCAAAAACACAGGGGATTTGCCACATTTCTGAAATTCGGTGCCACCCCTCACGCAGATCCGCGGGGTCAGGGTCCAAAAACACAGGGGATTTGCCACATTTCTGAAATTCGGTGCCACCCTTCACGCACATCCATCGCAAGGCGTGGTAACCCAAACTGCGAGAACTCCCTCGGCCCTTTAATCGCAAGGTGTGGTAACCAAGCCCGTAAACCATACACGTCTTACCAATCGCCAGGTGTGGTAACCCCTCTTGTGATCAGTTGGTTTTGCTGATTGCGAATCGGCTTAGCATGAAGTTTCGATACTGCTTCACGACAGCGCCAAGGCCTCATGACGTAGCTCTTCCATGGCCCATTCTCCGAGAGAGGGGGCCGGCGGCAGGGGGCGAAGCCCTTACGGAGATATATATATATATATATATATATATATATGTGTGTGTGTGTGAATGTGTGTGCGCGTGTGTGAACATATCTATCTATATATATATGTATATATATGTATATGCATACATAATTATATATAGGTAGAGAGGCAAAGAGAGGTAATATATAGATATGCAAAAAATGAACGAATATATATATACATATATATATGACAGATCGACAGATATATGGCTATATAAAATATCGATACATATATATATATATATATATATACAAATATATACCTAGACTGATAGACATATAGAAAAGTAGGTCGACATATGGATCGATACATTATAGATCGACAGTAAGATCGATAGATAGATCTGTCGATTGATATATGTATATATACATATTTATAGAAATGGTACACACATCTAGCGGATGCTGGCCAAGCCCATCCCGGACCGAAGGCTGGCGAGATCTCCTCCCTGGCTTGGCCGGGGAGGCACATACACCGGTCCTGGGCCCACGATGGGCCTGCCACGGATCGGCGTGACTAGCGTTAGGTCGGGCATGTCCTCCTACAGGAGTAGTTTGGACGACAAAAAAAAATCCGCCGACCCTGTCGGCGTGTGGGGGGTGTCTGTCTGGTCCCTCCCCTCTTTCCCATCCTCCTCTCCCGTCGGGGGAGACAGAGAGAGAGAGAGAGCACCCTTCCTCGTTCGGAGAACGGCTTCGCAGCTTGAGGGAATTCCATCCTTTCCCGGGAAGCCCCTTCCCTGTATCCCTTCCCCGACGGGGGGGGCGCGGTCCCGGGAGGGGGGGGTCAGATTCGCATCGCCCCTGGGGGTCGTCTCCCACGCCGGTCCTTCTCCGGCGCGCCGGTCGTCCTCGGACCCTCCTCCCCAGGTGGCGAGGAGTCCCAGGAGGGGGGAGGGGAGTCAGATACGCATCTGTCCCTGGGGGTCCTCCTCCCCCTCCCCTCCCCTTTCCCACGCCGGTCCTCCCCTGATCCTCTTCCCCAAGGGAGGGGGCTCTTTTCCTCCGCCTTTCCTCATCCTCCTCCTCCTTCTCCTCCCCATCCTCCTCCTTATCTCCGCCTCCTCCTCCTCCTCCTCCTCCTCCTCCTCATCCTCCTCCTCCTCCTCCTCCTCCTCCCCCTCCTGGTCGTCGTCGATGTCTTTCAGGGTCGGCGGCACCGTCCGTCAACTATGTTTGACTATTTTTGAATATTCCTCCTGTAGAGGGACGTGCCCGACTTACGATTAGCGAACAGTTGGCATCCTCCGACTGGGAGGTGGCGCGACAGCGGGGCGGCGAGGAGCCGCTGAACTGAAACAAACGGCTTCGGCGGCAGCAACTCAGGAGGGAAAAAACACACTGACACAATGAATTGTCGATTCCCCAGAAAATCCGCCGATCCGGCGTGTGAGTTACAAGGAGTCTCAGCTACAGCCTCGAGGCTGAGCCTCAGCCTCCGGGGGGGGTGCCTGGGTGGCTCTGCCGGGGAAGGGGGGGTGGGGGGCGGGGGTGCGAGTTTCCGGCGGATGCGTTTTTTGACACCCCTCACAAGGATCGTGGCCTCCGAGGGGGTTCCGAACTCGAGTGCCACCCCTCCCGCACCAAGAGGCTCTGAAGAAGCCTCCAAGAGGCCCCAAGGGGCCCAGAAGAGGCCCCCAAGAAGCCCCAAGAGACTCCCGAGAGACCCCCAAGAGGCCCCCAAGTGGCCCCAAGAGGCCCAAGAGGCCCCCAAGAAGCCCCAAGAGGCCTCCAAGAGGCCCCCAGAGGTCCCGGCCAACCACGATATCCCAACCAGCGTCCATGAGGCCTCTGACCCACCACCCACGCACGGTGGTGGGATAGGCCGAAGGCCACTGGATAAATGCGGAATGAAAGGGGGAAGGAAGGGAAAAGAGAGGAGGGACGAGGGCGAAGGAGGATCACATCAGTCGGAGCGCCCCGGATCGGCGGCACTGGCCGAAGGCCACTACAATACGGGAAACATGGGAAGTGGGGGGGGGAAGACGACAATCCCAAAAATACCTGGAAAAAAATAGGGAATCCTGGGATTTGTGTGTGCGTGTGTCACTGGGCCCCTTCGGCAACTGGCACGGGGTGGGCAGAGCGGCCGCGCTGACTTGCGTGGGCGGGAGGGGCGCAACTGGCCGGCGGAGGGGGAGCGGGGCTGGCTTCGGCGAGGTGGGGCACGCGGAGGGGCACCAGACGAGCGTGGCGGGCGTGGGATGACGTCGGCGCTGGTGTCCGACACCGCGTGGGTCGCTCCGCGCTGAGCGACCACAGACTTGCGACTTCGCGAATCCACCGACGTCGGCCGATTGCGGGCCAGGGGTGGCACTCGGCCTTGAACCAGCGGCCGAGCGACGCCGCTGCAGCGAAAGCTTGGGCGGGCACGCGTATCGTCCATTCGCTGGCCCAACGTGCCAGAGGCGTGCTAAGATCTCCGGCTACTGGTAACCAATATGTCGAGTTCGCGCGCGCGGGGCCGCCCCTGGGGGTCCCTGGACGAAAAGCACCCCAGACGGTACTACTCAGAGATAGGTTTTCCTTCTGAGTGCGGCTTTCAGGCGCCCCCGAGCGCTCCTAGAGGGCCCCAAGAGTCCCCAAGACGGTCCAAGAGGGCTCCGAGTCGCCGACCGATCGGTCCAAGACGCCCAAGAGAGCCTCCAGACGGCCGCAGACGCTCCCAAGACGCCCATAGAGGCCTCGAAGAGGCGTCTCAAGAGGGCTCCAGGAGGCAAAAGCCATCGATTTCCCCTCGGTTTTTGAAGGATTTGGGTGTTCTCATCTGTTCGGCTGCCCGACGCTCCAAGACGGCCCAAGAGGCCCCACAGATCGCCCCAAGATGGCTCAAGAGGCCTCCAAGAGAGCCCAAGATATCCCCAGGACGGCCCCAAGAGGGGGCCAGACGGGGAACCCGAACGGACATTTCGAGCCCTCGGTCCCAATAGGCTTCCAATACGCCCACAGAGGCCTCGAAGAAGCGTCTCAAGAGGGCTCCCGGAAGCAAAAACCATTGATTTCCCATCGGTTTTGAAAGGATTTGGGCAGTCTCATCTGTTCGGCTTCCTGACGCTCCAAGACGGCCCACCCACAGATCGCCCCAAGACGGTCCAAGAGGCCTCCAAGAGAGCCCCAATAGTAAGAGGGCCCCAAGAGGGCCCAAGAGGCCTCCAAGACGGCCCACGATATCCACAGGACGGCCCCAAGAAGGGGCCAGACGGGGAACCCGAACGGACATTTCATTTCAAGCCCTCGGTCCCAAGAGGCTTCCAAGACGC